CATTGATGTAATAAGTTGATATCTCTTATATTATTGAATCTTTAAACGTGAATGTAAATTGGTCAATAGACAAAAGGTATGGCCTTGCTCTATATGATCACCACCTTTATCATTAGTCCCTTGTTGTGATAGTTAATGGAACATGCCAAATAAATTTCTTCTTGTGGCAACTTTTGCTAATATGCTACTCATGTTTTAGGTTTCAAATTCTCCATTATCCACTATGTAGTTGTGCATGCAAGTTGTTTGACAGAGCGGAAAAATCCATGCTACTCCAAAAGTCACCCTCTATTGCTAACCGCCAAAAGTGACATCCTGTTTTATTTCTGCCCATGCAATGAAGGAAGGGAATCTCATCACTAAGTAACCCAATCAGCCCAACAAAAATGTGGCTCTCTTTTCTTCATCAGTCAGTTGTGTCCTGCATGAGCATGCCCAATCCCTTTATGCACAAACCTGTATAAAACCCTAACCAAACCATCAAAAATTCCACACAATCACTCATCACTTCCCTGAACTGTTTCTGAAAATGCCTCGGTGGCAAATCCTCTTCCTCTTTTCTCTCATTTTCCTCTCATCCTCCACCTCCAATGCTTCTGTCAATGACTTCTGTGTGGCAGACCTGAAAGGCCCAGACAGCCCTTCAGGCTACACCTGCAAGATTCCTGCTAAGGTCACTGTCAGTGACTTTGTGTTCTCTGGCCTGGCCAAAGGTGGAAACACCACCAACATAATAAGCGCCGCCGTGACCCCGGCATTTGTTGCCCAGTTCCCAGGAGTCAATGGCCTTGGAATCTCTATAGCAAGGCTAGATTTAGCACCAGGTGGTGTTATCCCATTCCATACACACCCCGGAGCTTCGGAGATTCTCGTTGTGACGAGGGGTATTATCAAAGCCGGGTTTGTTTCGTCTGCCAACACGGTTTACTTGAAAACTCTTCACAAAGGAGAGGTCATGGTTTTCCCACAAGGGTTGCTGCATTTCCAAGTGAATGTTGCAAAAATACATTCCAATGCTTTTGTTAGCTTCAGTAGCGCAAGCCCCGGCCTCCAAATCCTTGACTTTGCCCTTTTCGCCAATGACTTGCCTTCGGAATTGGTGGCGCAGACCACTTTCCTCGACCTTGCTACAATCAAGAAGCTCAAGGGTGTTCTTGGTGGCACTGGTTAATTAATTACTTTAGGTTTTTTCTTTTCTTCATTGTAACATTTTGATTTTTCTTTTCCATCCATAAGCTTTTGTTTTGTTCAATTTTTATTGTTTGTGTTGTATCCTAAAAATAATTAAACTTTCAGAAGCAATGATAACTTGGCCAACAAGACAAGTAATTCTTCTCAAAAAAGATAACTAGTAGTTAGAGTACTACTGGTCTGATTTTTTACTTGAGTGAATTTTTAAAAGTGTAGCGATTTGAGACTTCTCTTTCAGCCATTTACATTTTGAACAGAATATTTTAAAATTTTTTTGCATAAGGAGTGTTAAAATCGCTGGTGTTCTCGTAAATATGATATTTGAATGAGGGCTTGCAAAATTAAGGGTTAAATTCTCATATTTAATGTGGACTACGCCCAAACGGGTGGAACTGTGAAACTTTCATTACCCCATAACATGCTCTTGCTAACAAATGAAAGTTGTAAATCAACAATCTTCTGCTCGAAAAAATAAAAACAAATGAAACTCTCATTACCCCCAAAAATTTCTCTATTTTTAGACTTCCTGAGTTTTATTCCATCTCTATTGCTTCTCTTATAAGTGTTATGGGTTTTATTCTGGTGGATCTAAGTGTCCTTAAGCATAAGGACACCCAGATCTATCAAAATGAGAGGAACTCCTGGCTTTTATTTTATTTCTATTGCTTGTCTTAAAAAGTATATGAGAAATCTTCGTGATATCATTTGGCTTTAAATCGCTCGTCATTTTTTTGACATTCATAGCCATGTATTGAAATTGACAAATAGTCTATGTATTGAAATGACAAATGGTCTATTCTAAAAAGCATTTTCATTGACAACGGTGCATAATATAGACTTTGGCATTGGCATTGGCATTGGCATTGGCGTAGTTAAGTTGGCTAGATTAGTGTGTTTTAACTTCTATGTCTAAGTTTAATCCTCCTCCCCATAGTAAGGAGATAAGAGTGACCATATTTAAGTGAAATCAATCTAAAAATAGAGAAATATTTGGGGGTGACAAGAACTCTTGCTGACTTGGAGTTTCACCAATCAGGTATTGACATCTGTGCATTTAAGGTGGAATTTATACACACAGTCTGGCCCATCTTTAAAGCAATTAAAAAAACTTAATATTTATTTAACATAGTACCGGTGCCTCTCTCTCTCTTCCATCTCCCTCCGCCGTCCTGGTATTGCAGACCAAAAACCAAGCATTTCCGACTAAACGGTCACCAGCACCCGCACTAAAATTTCTGTCCTCCACCCAACAACCATGTCACGCCCACCACCATGAACACCCAAGAAAGCTCCAGCCTCCATCACACAATTAAAATCTCAATTTGGCACCATCATCTTCTTCTATCATGTTGCTTCATCATCATGATTTGAAGACGCCGGTTCTTGATCACCAAGAGAAAGGTAGGATGATAAGGGGATGACAACACGATGGGCTAGAACACCGGGCGGCAATCGTGGATGTCGGGGGCTGAGAGGAATTGGAGGGGAATGATTAGAAGGTTAGGGAAAGGCCTCGAGAATGAGGTTTAATTTTTTTTTTTAAATAAAAATTTTATTTATTGATTATTCTATAAAAGATAAAACTATTTGGTCTTAGTGGGGCAGATGACGTTAGTGGATTGAAAGGGAACACCATCTGCACTAAGGTGTGTATTCCCATCACCCCAAAAATTTCTCCTAAAAAAAATATATATGAGATGTAGGTACCTAAACTTCTCTCAACACAATGTGGGCTTTTAGCAGGGGCACCCTGAGATTTTTAATGCCCGGATCGAGCGCTCAACATGTGTATTTTTTTTTTTCAACGAAAATATATATATATATATATATAGGAGTTCTGGACCCAGTTGAATCTAGCGGGGAGGGGGTGGAGCTAGACCCTCACACCTATAATATATTACTTGAGAAAAAAAAATACACCGTATGGGAGGGGTGGTTTTGCAGTCGGAGGAGAGAGATTTTGTCGTTTGGTCAGTGGGATCGGGAGTCGGGACTCTCATACATGGACCATTTGGTCGGAGAGAATGCTTGGGTTTGGGTTAGGCTTGGGACCGTTGGGTCGACCGATGGGCGATGGTGGTCAGGTGGTAGTGTCGCGAAGAAGACTCAAAGCTATGCATTGTCTCTCTCTGTCTCGGTTGCAAAAGTAAATTACATGCTTTCCCATTTTTATTTTATAAACCTATATATCTGCTACTACAAATAATTTTGATGCCCTAATCAAATTTGGGCACTGAATGGAGGCACTGTTTACACTCGGTTTGGGCCGGGCCTGCCTTTTAGTATACACTCTTTGAGAAGTCTGAAGATATGAGCAATATGCAAGGAGTACATGTACTTTAAGGATCTAAAAAAGCTGGGTGTAAGGATAAAAAAATTCGGATCGTTGAAATTGATCCAACGGTTATAATTATTACAATTTTTAGAAGAATTTTTTGTTTTTAATCGTTAGATCAAATTTTAACAATCTGAATCATTTGATCTTTAAACTTAATTTTTTTAGATTCGAATGCGCAATAATAAGGATGACAGTTGTATTCATTGAAAAACTTCGATGAAAAGAAACAAAAGTTTTACCCATCAGACAAAGATACGGTCGAATTGTGCCGAAACTGGCAGGGGCATTGCCCGAGCATCTGCCTTCTGAGCCCATTATTATTATGTTGGATGACTTTGGCTTTTTTTTAAATTTTTTTATGTTGGATGATTTTGAATTGACTGACTGGTTTGGCTGTTTTGTTATTCTCACTTTTACACTTTCAGAAAAAGAAAAAGAAAGGGAGCATCGTCCTCCATTGATTTTTATAGACTACCTATACGTGCTCACAAGAGAGGTGGACATTAAACCGACCGATTTGAATTATATTCGTCGGTTTGATTATTTTCATAAATAAAAAAAAATTAAATAATTTGAACCTGATCAAAATTAAATCAAATTGAACCGATCAACAAGAGAGGTGGGCATTAAACCGACCGATTTGAATTATATTGGTCGGTTTGATTATTTTCATAAATAAAAAAAATTAAATAATTTGAACCTGATCAAAATTAAATCGAATTGAACCGATCAATGTATCTTTTAATTATTAGTTAGTTAGTTAGTTAGTTTTTTTTTTTTTTTCTACAATGTCAACTTATTATAGGCCATTTAAAGGTCCTTACCATCCACATATTATAAGTCGTAGCAATTATTAACAATTAGAAGATCTATATGTATTTTATGCTCATGGGAGGTAAAATAAGTTGTTTGCTAGCATTAGATTTTCTTTAATTGAAACTTAGTTATGTTAGACATGATAAACTTTATACGCTCCAAAAGATTTAGTTAACATGTGTAGATGTTTAGAAGATTAGAACTCTTGAAATGTTACACGTTTTTTTTATATGTTATGTGTTGAAAATGCTTAAACTGACCGAACCAAACCGAATCAACCAATTAATAATAATGGTTTGGTTCGGTTTCAATGATGTTATTGGTTAAAACTGAACTGTTAAATACTTGTTGGTTCAATTATATTTTTGGTGTCAAACCGAATCAAATGACCGATCAGGCTCCACCCATATTCAAGACGATCCAACGTTCTCAATTGATTAAATATGTTTCAACAATAAGCGCCTCCACACACTAAACAAAAACTGCTCTCCAATGCATTGTTACAAATTTATGGGGTCAATATTTTAGTTTGTTTTGCTCTTTACCCCCTCTGTTTCTGGGCACCTACTACCAGCAGTACTTGAAACTTAAAACAAACACAAGGATCAAGTCCTTAAGGAAACAGATCAATCATGTTGTTACTCACAGGCAAGGTTACCAATTCATTTGTTCCTTTTATGTACAATGAATTATGCGAAAATATACTGATATAATTTGATGTTTTCCAAACATAAAAAATGTCCATTCCTGCAGTTGTAAGCAGTTTCATCTTCACACAGAAGAAGAAGACAGTGGAAATTTTCCCGGTAAGCGTGAGGGAAGCCTGGAATGAGTGCGAGCTTCGGTTCATGGTTCTAATTAGCCTTGCCTTGCAAGCAATCCTCATCCTAATCGGCAACTGGAGAAAGAATTCAACCGGCAACGTACTTTGAATTGTCCTCTGGCTTGCTTACTTGTCAGCTGACTCCGTTGCAACCGTCTCACTCGGCATTCTCTTCAGCAACCAGGAAGACTCCGAAGGTGATTCTGTAAACCCAAACTTTGTTATGATAGCATTTTGGGCACCGTTTCTTTTCTTGCATCTCGGCGGTCCAGATAAGACCACTGCTTACTCGTTGGAAGACAATGAGTTGTGGCTTAGGCACTTGCTTGGGGTAGCTGTCCAGGTGATTGTAGCTTTGTATGTCTTTATAAGAGCATATTAAAATGTCGAATTTTTTTTGCCATTCCGGTTTTCGTAGTTGAGATTATAAATTTGGGGAGAGGACCTGGGTTTTGAGGTCTGCAAGTAGTGAGCATTTTAGAGAGTCTATGCTCCCTCCTCCGCACGCAGGTCCAAATTACGCTAGATAAAGGGAGGAATACAGCTCAAAGAAAGCTGAGGGGTTTAGGGTTGAACCGAAGACATTCATCGAAGCTCCGATAGTTTTTTATCACTACTATGCAGTTCAAGTTGATGAATCTAGTAGTGCCCAAAATGCTGCAGTTCTAAACAAAGCTTACAGTTTCTTTGAAACTTTCAAGCGGCTGTGTGCCAATCTCATCCTCACCTTCCACGTCATAGAAAACAGCCAATCGTTCTTCCAACACCGGACTCTGAGGAAGCTCTAGAGGTTATTGAGTTTAAGCTAGGGTTCATGTATGATGTGTTTTATACTAAATCACTTCTGGTTTATTCTGGTGTCGGTGGGATTCTCCGTTGCATTACTCTTTCTTTCACAGTTTGTGTGTTCCTAGCCTTCATGTTGATCACGGAGAAGCAAGAATACATGAGAGTGGATGTAATTATCAGATATATATTGTTGGTGGGAGCTATTGTCTTAAAATTTTATGCAGTAGTCATAATACTTTCATCGGACTGGACAATGCTGTGGCTGAGCAAGTACCTGTTGGATTTGATTGCTGGGGATATGGTTCAAGTAGTTGAAAGAAAGAATAATGGTGAAGTCAAGACGTGTCGCTTGCCCTATGCTTTACAAAGTAGACAAGAGCTGCAACATACGAGCCCAAAGAGACTTACTGATCATTATAGCAGAAGTGATGAGGTGTTTGCTCGTATTCATGGTGACAGTTCAAACTTGCCAGATCATTATAAAGATCTCATTTCCATCCTCTCCTTTGATACTCGAGAAGGAAATAAACCTGGAGAAGAAATAGGTAACTTCTTACGAAGAGGCATTGCAGGTGGTTTCTTCCATCAGCTACAGGTCCTTGATCTCGAAAATGTATTCAGACCTGAATTGCCCACCAACATAGGAAAACTAAGCAGGTTGAGGTATCTGGGTTTGAGGTGGACTTTCCTTGATTCAGTCCTGTAGAAATTTTCAGGTCGACGGGCACGTGAGACCCCACTTATGGGTCACACGTGAATTTCCACACATCGGCAACCACGTGGAGCCATGTCGGGACTCACCCAATCACGTGGGGCCAATGGGGACCCACCCAAACACGTGGCATCTTTGGCCTACGTGGACAATCACGCGGAGCCAACTGGGACCCACCCAATCACGTGGCAGTACGGGCCCGCCTCCTGGCTCTGATACCATGTAGAAATTTTCAGATCGACGGGCCGAGGGCCCACTCCAACAACACCGATACTGTCCCCACTTAACCACCTGCACAATCCTCAGGTGTGGGGTTTTATCACAAAAGGCCTCGATGTTAGTTAGAGAGGGGTATTTCTATTTAAAGCACTCTTCTCTTCTCCCTCTGTCCGATGTGGGACTGGGGGTTCCAACAAGTCCCAACATCCATTGGCAATTTGCTGAACCTCCAGACATTAGATGTGAAGCATACAGATGTCCAGACTCTCCCTAGTTCGATATGGAAACTGCCCAAACTCCGACACCTATACTTAAACCAGAGTAAAATTATGCATCAGAAAGGCGGCAGTTCCCTGAAGAATCTCCACACATTATGTGGTGCATTTGTGGATAAGAATAGTCCATTGAAGGGTGGACTTGACAAGTTGATCAACCTAAGAAAATTGGGACTGGCATTCCAGTTAGACAGATCAGAGCAAAGGGCGTTAGGAGACAAGATTGTAAAGCCGTGGGGCCTTCGGTCTTTAAAATAGTAGTCTTGTGGCCATTGTCAGGCCTTGAGGATCTTTCAAGCCTAAATTTGTTTGGAAAGTTAACTCATTCCATTGTAGCGGAGTTCCCAAAAAACCTTGCTGATCTTACTTTGTCAGCCTCTTTTCTGTCAGATGATCCAATGCCCAAGTTAGAGAAGCTTTTTCACCTTAAAGTACTCCAATTCATACACAGGTGAAAAAATGTCTTGCTACACGTGGGGATTTCCGAAGCTTGTAGTTTTGAAGTTGTGGAAGCTACAACTACTAGAAGATTGGGACGTGCAGGAAAAGGCAATGAGAAATCTCAGGGAGTTGGAGATCAGATCCTGCATCAAATTGAGGGTCCCAAGTGGGTTGAAGCAATTGAAGAATCTCACTAAATTGAAGTTGACTGATATGCCACAAGAATTTTCTGCAACCATTACGAGAACTAGGGCTCAAATTTGGGATGACATTACCCACTCCCCAGCAATCATTACTGAAAGCTGGTAGTCCATCACAGGCTCTCACTCATGTAATGGTATGACTTGCTTTCTCAGAAATCTGCTGCTTTCGGAACAATGTTTTAAGTTTGTGTTGGTGCATGTCATCCTCATGGATGCACAGGGACAGCTATGAACTATGCATATGTGTATAATAAGTATGGTTTATTGTGATTTCAGGTAACATCAACGGATGCAGTTGACGCACAGAGAACCTGCAAAAGCCTCATATATCATATATGTGGAGCTGCAAATGCAATTCCTTAGGGTGAAGGCCACTAGGAATATTTTCAAATTTCCTTCAAAATAAAACTGGGTATGTAAAGATGTTATATCTCAACAGACGTCTTGAGATTTGTATGAGTTCTTGATTGATGATTTTGCTAAGTTTTACTATGTTTATGTATATTATGGATTTCAAAATGGTACTATTATTATATATGATGAGTTGCCACTATTCGCGAATAAGGTTGTGATTGTTTGATTAAAGAGAAGTGGTGCAACCTTTGCCTTTTGATTGAAGAGAGACAGCTATTTACTCTTCAAGGTAAGACGCAACTATTATGAAGAGTCACTTACACATCTATATAAAGGCTTCACCACTTGAGTTTTTAGTCAATTTGAATTAATTTTAGTTGAGTCATACAATTTCGTATCAGCCATATCATACTAAGATGTCAAGTGAGGCTGAGAGTGGTTCGTTGGAGCCTTACGATTTGGTTGCTAGTAACATAAAGGAGGAGGCCGTTATATCTTGGGAGGTAAGCGTCGATCAACCATGAGCACTATAGTGAGACATGAACACCGTAGTGAGACATAAATGTGTTAGGGAGAGAGAACAAAGTTCTTAACATGACCCTATTTTTTAGACTTTTCTAATCTAATTTCATATGCATTAACTTTGTGTTTTGTGCATAAAATTTTGTATATACTTGCATGGTAATTTACAATTTTTGTAGGTAATTTATTTAGCAATTACAGCCTAGCTTCCAACAGCGTTTTCATTAAGCCCTTTTAGATAACCAAACATGCTTCCAACAAATCACAATGTCTGACAGAAAAAATTAGCACATTTTCCATAAAGCACTTGAATTTTTATTAAATTTGCCGTGTGCTTTTACTAAAACTGCTCCAAGTAAAAGCGTTTACTGGGCCTAATCGTAATTTTACTCGCTTCACCTAACTGCATTTACAAATGTAAAGCTAGTTTAAGAAAGAGCGAACCTGATGGACTGGCTGGCTAGCACTCATCGTTCTCCCTTGCTTCAAGTGACAATCTGCAACTAAATAAAATTACAGTAAACTAGTAAAAATAATAGGGAGCTTTAGTTATTGAGACCAAAACACAAAATACATTTCATAGAGCTTCAATCATTTTGTATTATTTCAAGAAGTCACAAAAACCCAATAAACCTAGCCCAAAAACAAGAAAATGGCAATTTAAAATTCCAACCATGTCCTCAATGCACTTGTCCAAAATTATATCTGGACTCATGCATTTACGGACCCTCAAAAAATATCAAGTTAACTAAGGGCCTATTTGGCATCCTAATAAAAAAAAAATTATCATTTCTCAAAATATTTCTTAAGAACATCTCTTGAAAGCTGTCACATCCCAGTCTCGACTCCGCCGTAGCACGATATTGTCTGCTTTGGGCCCCGGCCATCCCCTCACAGTTTTGTTTCTGAAAACTCAGACAAGAACTTCCCAGGGGCTCACCCATCCTGGGAATGCTCTCGCCTGAACTCGCTTAACTTCGGACAATGGAATCCGAATCCAGTAAGTTCCCAAAATGCCTCGTGCTATATGGACGTGGGCATGTACATATAAGGTACATCACCCCTTCTCCGTTGGTCGATATGGGATGTTACAATCCACCCCCCAAGGGCTCGACGACCTCGTTGGCACACTCACACCACACGACAGAGTGGCTCTTATAGCATTCTGTCACATCCCAGTCTCGACTCCGTCGTAGCACGATATTGTCCGCTTTGGGCCCCGACCAAGCCCACACAGTTTTGTTTCTATAAACTCACACTTGAACTTCCTAATGGATCACCCATCCTAGGACCGCTCTCGCCTGAACTCGCTTAACTTCAGAGTTCCAATGGAATCCGAAGACAGTGAGTTCCCAAAAGGCCTCGTGCTATATGGAGGTAGACATGTACATATAAAGCACATCACCCCCTCTCCGTTGGTTGATGTGGGATGTTACAATTCACCCCCCCCCTTAGGGGCCCGACGATCTTGTCGGCACACTCGCACCACACGGTAAAGTGGCTCTGATACCATTGTATCACATCCCAGTCTCAACTCCGCCGTAACACGATATTGTCCGCTTTGTGCCCTGGCCACACCCTCACGGTTTTGTTTCTGGGAACTCACACGAGAACTTCCCAAGGGGTTACCCATCTTGGGAATGCTCTCACCCGAACTCGCCTAACTTCGGAGTTCTGATGGAATCCGAAGCTAGTGAGTCCCCAAAAGGCCTCATGCTATATGGAGGTGGGCATGTACATACAAGGATATCACCCCCTCTCCCATAGCCTTACCTTGCTGTTGTCGTCCAAAACATTTGGGGGGCTTAGGTTTAAAAGATTTGTCTTCTCATAGCCTTACCTTGCTGGCTTTCTCTAGATCAACTCGTAAGCTTTGGATCATTTTACTTTGTACTTTTATTTGGGGCATTTGGTTCCTTCAGAATATACTAAGCATTGGTTTACGGACTGTTTTCGGGATTCGTCTTCAATATGTGTTTCTAGCCGGCACCTTCCTTCTACTTTTTGCCTATTTTCTCATTGCTAGGTATTTCGCCGCTCTTGGCTTCGGCCCCCTGTTCACTATCATCTTTCGCAGTTGGGGTGGATTAAGGTGAATATGTATGGCTCTTATTCTAATGAGTGTGCGAGTTTTGGAAGCGATTTTCATACCAGTGAAGGCCAAGTCCTTGGCGCTATTTGCTTCTTGTACAGAATTAGTGAGTTCGGTGACAGCGACAATTTAATTTAGCTTTTATTGAGGCAGTTCGTGTCGCATGGGTTTGTGACTGGAAACACCTTTGGATTGAAACTGATTCCACTTTGGTTCAACATTGCTCATATAAGGCTTTGTCAACAGTTTCATGGTTTCGTCAGATGAGTTTTTTTTCATACACATATCTATCGGGAAGGCAACCAGGTCGCCTACTTGCTAGCCTCTTATAAGGCTGCAGCTTATGCTTATTATTGGTGGTCTATTATCCTATCATTTGCAGTCATTGCTCATACATGCAATTTGCCTTTTTTTCCTACTTATCGTTTTCGTTGACTGTTTGATGGTGTTGGCCTAGTCTCCTTACATGTACCTTTTTTATAATTCTTACTAGCAATCGGCACACACGCTCCAAGGGTGCAACTAAATTTGTTTTTTATTTTAGTACAACTTATTTTGAATGAGCATGGATGACAACTCAAAAATGAAAAAGACAAAAAAAAAAAAAAAAAAAAAAAAGAGGGAAGAGAAAAGGTAGGAGAACGTGGGGAATGTAGAGTGGTAATTTACATGGTTGTGATGTTATAAAAAACAGTAAAATTTGTCTATGCGTATACTAAATTGTCCACATTTTTTATTTTTGTTGAGTTCTGGTGAGAGGGTTAGAGTGGTAATTTGTTGGGGTTTTAGTTGACAAATAAGGTTTTATTAATATATAATGTAGATATTAATAAATTTTAGTAGAGAGGGGAGGGGCGAGGGTTTCAAGGTGCAATATCATTTTTCCTTTGAGAAGAGTAGGTGTCTTGCACGCGACTATTAACAAAGAGCTAATCACGCATAATTTTGCTCTACTTTCACCCAAAATAAAAAAAAGGCAGTGCTAACATGTTGTTTAGAATCCTTCTTAGATTTTTTTATTTTTTTATTTTTTAACTAATATAGTTTCATTCATTGAAAACCTTAAGTTGTTATCAACTGAATACCAAACAACACAAGATCAAGGGCCTCTCCAAACATTGTCAGTTGGGAGAGCTTTTACAACGAGGGGATCAAAAGTGGGGATACAATGTGAAATGTTTAAGTCGCCCGATAAATTGGACGGTTAATTATGATTTTTTTTATTTTACAATTGGTTTAAAATTATTTAGCACGAATAGTTACAACTTACAAATATAAAAGTGAGTTAATGTGCGTCAATATTTAATCAATATGTCATCAAAGAGGGCAACAATCGCTATTATTTAGTATGAATAGTTACAACTTACATCCATGAAAGTGTGTTCAGTTAATATGTCATCAATATTCAATCAATATGCCATCAAAGAGGGCAACAACCACTGAATATATTCATGAAAAAAAATATCACATCTTCTGATCCAACATGAGAGAGAGAACCCGAGTGTAGGCGGCGGACTCTGCCCAACGTCGAAGATGGCCACCAACGACGAGGTAGCCCGACGACGGTGATGCAGGGATACAATGAAGAAGAAAGAACTTAGTAATCAAAATCTAAAAACAAGAATCATATCAACTGGGGGGCTAGTTTATCCAGTTCCCTTTCTCACGTTCTCTATTTAAAGTTGTCACATTCCGTCCTTATTTTACATTTTCTCAGAAAAAGAGGTGGTAACTGCCAAGAAAGAGGATTGAATTTGAGTCGGCAGAAAAAGGAGGCACAGCAACTCAAACTCTCTAGCTAATTGGTCCTCTTGTGTCAAGAAGAAATACCACACAACATCACCATTAGATTTAATTAAAACATTATTATTAACAAATGAAATAGAAAAGGTCCACCTTGTCGAAGGGACAAAACCAAACATGTTTAAGAATCTCTCCAAGAACACAAACCAGTAGCAAACAAAGTGTTTACAATTTTTAATTCTTTTGAACCAGTATCTGCCGTCTGCAGACTATTTAAATTCAACCCTAATCACATTTTCAAGGCAACTTCATCTCTATTTCTAATCGTAATTGGTGGATCTCAATTGGCAAGACATGCCAAGGAGTAAGTTAACCACCCAAGACACATAAGGGTTAATTACTTAATTGGAGTTCATTATCCCTAATCAAACATCACATCGTCCAAATTAACAGCACACCCCCACATTACAATATGCCTTCCTTTGTCTCATTCATGCACCCCCATTGCCTTAATCCATTAATTTAACATTTAACACATTTAACGTTTGATCCTATAAATTTGTTTTTAAAATGTGTCATCAAGTTTGAATATCTTGCATTGCACCCTGAAGTTTTGAAATTGTATTAATTCAAATATTTTGTCTATTTGAACATCTAACCCTTCATTAAATTGACAAAGCGCGATACGCGGAGTTTGAATCTAAGATGACATACCTTGCACGATTTGATCCGATTGATTGTCATTTTGAAAAACAAAGCTTTGATTTAAGAGAAGATGCAGCTCTATGTCGAGTTTTTTAGGATTTCTAGGTTTTTTTTATTTTTTTTTATCAATGTGGTACAAATGTGGGTCACGTCAACTCATAATTATGGTTCCACTCTCATCATAACATCAATTTAATGAAAGATCAGATAATTAATTACATCAAAAGCATAAATTGATATTACTTCAAAACAATATGGTGCAATACGAAAAAATTGAAACTTCGTGAATCGTTTTGAAAATCATTCAAAACTTTAAGGGTATGAAAGCTCCCATAAAATACCTCCATCCATTTTGGTCAATGATCAAACTTTGTCACCTTTTGGCAAAAAAAAAAAAGAAAAAAAAACTTTGTCACCTACCTTAAGAAACCCCTTTTCTCTCTTCATCATCTTCACTTCCTCTTCCCTTTCCGAAATTCTCAAGCACAATGACCACTGAACAACCAGAGCCAAACTCCACCTCAGATCATATCTTGGATTGGCTTGAAGATTCAGTCACTTTCTTCCCATCTTTCTGGGATGATCCTTACCATTCAAATGACATCGATGGAGGACTTCAATGGTGGGATGAGAACCATGATCTTGTTCATCCCACCACAAATCCTACTTGTCTCAACAACCCAACTGGCATTTCAATCCCAACAACCACCACAGGGCCCCCAAATCCCGCCAATTTGAATCATCCGTCACCTACCGATTCATCTAAGAAGCGAAAGGCGTCCCCGGAAGAGCAACAAATTGATCGGAAGAACCACCACGGCCGTCCGATCAATCCTGCCGTCCCGGGGAACCAATCAGGTGAAGAGGTAGTAGTGGTGCCAGTTAAGAAATCAAATGGGAACAAAAAAGGGACAGCCAAGGGTACGGGGAATAACTGTAATAACGGTAATAGCAAGGAAGGGAGGTGGGCAGAGCAGTTGCTAAACCCTTGTGCCTCAGCCATCACAGGTGGGAATTCGACACGTGTCCAGCACCTCCTCTTCGTTCTCCACGAGCTTGCCTCAGTCACCGGCGACGCCAACCACCGCTTGGCAGCTCACGGGCTCCATGCGCTGAATCAGCACCTGTCCTCCTCCTCCTCCTCTGCCCCTAACGGCTCTGCCTCAGCGGCACCGGTTACTTTCACTTCCACAGAACCAAGATTTTTCCAAAAATCTCTGATGAAATTCTATGAGGTGAGTCCATGGTTTGCATTTCCAAATAACATTGCGAACTCTTCAATTCTCCAACTTATTGCGGAAGAATTTGATCGAACTCGAACCCTTCACATTGTCGATGTCGGTGTGTCTCATGGTATGCAATGGCCTACTCTGCTCGAGGCCCTGACTCACCGGCCAGGCGGCCCTCCGCCATTGGTCAAGATCACAGTTATCGCCGGCGCTGAAAACAACCAAAACAGAGGGACCCCATTTGCAGTAGGTCCTCCCGGTGACAATTTCTCCAATGGACTCCTCAGTTTCGCCAAGTACATGAACATCAATTTGCAAATTAAGCGCCTCGACGATCAGCCATTGAAAACTCTGAATGCTCAACTGATCGACGCCTCCAATGACGAAACACTGATCGTTTGCGTGCAATTCAGGCTACACCAACTGAACCACAACACCCCGGATGAGAGAACCGAGTTCTTGAAGTCCCTGAGGAGCATGGAGCCCAAGGGGGTGATCCTAAGCGAGAACAACATGGAGTGCAGCTGCAACAACTGCGGGGATTTTGCAACGGGGTTTTCGAGGCAGGTGGAATACTTGTGGAGGTTCTTGGACTCGACCAGCGTGGCATTCAAAGGGCGGGAGAGCGAGGAGAGGAGGGTGATGGAAGGGGAGGCGGCGAAGGCACTGACGAACCGTGGGGAGATGAATGAGGGGAAGGAGAAGTGGGGTGAGAGGATGAGAAGGGTAGGGTTTGTGGGGGAGGTGTTTGGGGAGGATGCCATTGATGGAGGAAGAGCCTTGCTGAGGAAGTATGATAGTAATTGGGAGATGAAGGTGGATGAGAAGGATGGGTGTGTAGGGTTGTGGTGGAAGGGGCAGCCTGTATCTTTTTGTTCATTGTGGAAGCCTCATGAGAGCGAAGGCAACAACTAAAATTGGTGGTTCTATTTTTATTTTTATTTTTATTTTTTTATGAACTTTACTGTTTTTATTCCTGATTATCGTATTTAATTAAACGAAAACAACGGACATAGTTAGATACGAGTGTATTTATTAATTTTCAAATTTAAGATTGGGTGGGTTTGCAATTTAGTGTTCTAGCTTTATATCTGCTTGATTTCTTCTCTTTTAACTTCTCCATCTGTGGAGTGGTCTACAAATTCTGAACTTTTTAATTCTTATATTGGGTTCAAGTGGTATACGTGTGGGACGAAGGAAGAAGGATGGTGGAAGAAATATGAAATGAATGTGGATGAAATGAGTCGAGTGAAACATAAAATGAAAACGAAAACTAATTTGAAGCTATTTTCTTCCAAATTCCTTTAATCTCCTTCGTTTCTTTCTCATCTATCCCTTTTATCTATTTTTCATTGTTAATTTCTTCCACATATTTTTCTTCTATCTTTAGCAAACAAACTTAAAATGAAATAGTTTTCAAATCGGCGAAATAATATACCCAATTTTTCTCTAGCTTTACCTATGTATGTATGTCATGTGCAAGGGTGAAAAGTCATGATTAAGATGATAATCATATTTGATCCTTCTCATTCGTTCACTATAAAGCACGAGCTGTGTGAAAGAGAGATTTTCAATCTTGTACTAATCGCCAATCTCGATTCAACTACAAGGCTACTATTCAATCAACTAAAAATCAGATTGCACATTACGAGAATAATTGCAAAATAGAAAACATAAGTACTTTTGAAATCCAAAAATATTTTCTCTAAAAAGTTTTCAATCGTTTTAAAAGTACATCCAAACTAATCAATACAGCACAAGCTGCATGAAGGAGAGATTTTCAATCTTGTACTAATCGCCAATCTCTACTATTCAATCGACTGAAAATCGGATTGCACATTAAGGGAATAACTGCAAAATAGCCCAATCTTGTACTAATCGTCAATCTCGATTCAACTACAAGCCTACTATTCAATCGACTGAAAATCGGATTGCACATTACAGGAAAAATTGCAAAATAGAAAACGTAAGTACTTTTGAAATCCAAAATTATTTTCTCTAAAAAGTTTTCAGTCGTTTTAAAAATACATCCAAACTAATCAATAAAGCACGAGCTGCATGAAAGAGAGATTTTCAATCTTGTACTAATCGCCAATCTCGATTCAACTACAAACCTACTATTCAATCGACTGAAAATCAGATTGCACATTACAGGAATAATTGCAAAATAGAAAACATAAATACTGTTGAAATCCAAAAATATTTTCTCTAAAAAGTTTTCAATCATTTTAAAAGTACATCCAAACTAATCAATAAGTGATTCCCACATATATTTTAATTTGTCACACAATTCTTTTCTTTCTCACTGCTATCTTGAATAAGCAAAAAACAAAGTGTAATTTATCATTTTCAATCGAAAAATAATATAAAAAAATTGCAAAATAGAAAACGTAAGTACTTTTGAAATCCAAAATTATTTTCTCTAAAAAGTTTTCAGTCGTTTTAAAAATACATCCAAACTAATCAATAAAGCACGAGCTGCATGAAAGAGAGATTTTCAATCTTGTACTAATCGCCAATCTCGATTCAACTACAAACCTACTATTCAATCGACTGAAAATCAGATTGCACATTACAGGAATAATTGCAAAATAGAAAACATAAATACTGTTGAAATCCAAAAATATTTTCTCTAAAAAGTTTTCAATCATTTTAAAAGTACATCCAAACTAATCAATAAGTGATTCCCACATATATTTTAATTTGTCACACAATTCTTTTCTTTCTCACTGCTATCTTGAATAAGCAAAAAATAAAGTGTAATTTATCATTTTCAATCGAAAAATAATATAAAAATTTGACACCACTGAAACGTAAGCCCCGTTCAGTTAGTACAATGGACCAAGCGAATAACCCTTCTTTCTCACTACTATCTTGAATAAGCAAAAAACAAAGTGTAATTTATCATTTTCAATCGAAAAATAATATAAAAAAATTGCAAAATAGAAAACGTAAGTACTTTTGAAATCCAAAATTATTTTCTCTAAAAAGTTTTCAGTCGTTTTAAAAATACATCCAAACTAATCAATAAAGCACGAGCTGCATGAAAGAGAGATTTTCAATCTTGTACTAATCGCCAATCTCGATTCAACTACAAACCTACTATTCAATCGACTGAAAATCAGATTGCACATTACAGGAATAATTGCAAAATAGAAAACATAAATACTGTTGAAATCCAAAAATATTTTCTCTAAAAAGTTTTCAATCATTTTAAAAGTACATCCAAACTAATCAATAAGTGATTCCCACATATATTTTAATTTGTCACACAATTCTTTTCTTTCTCACTGCTATCTTGAATAAGCAAAAAATAAAGTGTAATTTATCATTTTCAATCGAAAAATAATATAAAAATTTGACACCACTGAAACGTAAGCCCCGTTCAGTTAGTCCAATGGACCAAGCGAATAACTGTTCAGTCGGCCAAGATTACTCCGGGCTTGAAGCCTAAAGGCTCCACACGTGTCTCAGCCCATCGCACGGGGCGATAAGACTCCAAGCCTACGGAGGCTACCTGTTTCCAGGCCTGCATCTCTGCAGATAGTGGGCCCGGGGACTTTCCTGGGACTATTTCTTTTTACAGAAATATGGCCCAACCGCCTCGTCCAGTGGTGTCACAACCGTGTTCTCCAACAGGTTTTATAAACAGCACAAAGAACCCTTGCGTGAGCGATGTGGGATTCCCAACAAAGCTAACTATCCGTGCCTCTAATAAACACACTTTACAAAAATTGAAATTTCCGATTCAGTTTACTGAGAACGAAAGAAACGAAAACGCGCAGTTTGAGTTCTTTGAACGACGACGAGCTTTGCATCTGAGGGCTGAGATTCGTCAGGGGCGAGGATTGCGCGGAGTCCGGAGACCTTGACGTAGGGAGCATTACGGAGCTTGAGCAGCGCTGAGGAGGTGTAGGCGAACTTGATGACGGTACGCGCGGCGGCGCACGCTAGGACCACGCCCAAAGCGGCGCCGTTGTAGGAGAGGGCGAGTTGCGAGAATAGGTTTATCACGGCTCGCTCGTGCTTTTTTTTTTGGGGGGGGGGGGGGGGGGGGGGGTGGTGGGGGGGTGGGGAGGGTTGGGTGGGGTGGGGGGTGTGAGAAGAGATGGTGGTGGTTTGGCGCGGTGACTCATGGATTGGCGGGCTGGAGGAATGACGGTGAGAGTTTTCGGGAAGTGGTCTTTTAGCAGATTTAATCAGACACCGTTGGTGATCTAGTACTTGACCAGTTTGACAACTTGTGCTCATTTGAGACTATCTCCTTTTGAAGATGTCAAATTTCGAATCTAAAATTTACATTTGAAAGTTTACGTGACATTTCGACATTTTTTAAAATTTTAATTTTCATCCAATATGTCAAATTTTAAGCATCAAACAAAAATTTATATTTATTTTCTTTGCATTGAGAATAAAAGAAAATAAATTAAAAAATATTAAATATTGCAATGGTAATGAAAAGAAACAAAAAAGCAATGCTTCAAATCAATAAAAAAAAATTAATAATAATAAGTAGTTAAAAATTAATTAAATTTCTTTTGAAGGTGCTATCAAATTTGGCAGCAAGAGGGAGAGATGTATTTCCATGTTATGCTACATCAGATTTGGTTTCTCGGTTGTACAACATTATTGCTATCTTTTATTACCATTATTGCAGATTTAGACATTTTGACATCTCATTTGGAGATGCTTTGAGGCGGTCTAATTTTTGTTTTAATTTTCAAACTAAAGCATATCACCTATACATGTCCTTAGTTGAGATAAAATTAATTTAGTATAATTATTCTATTGTTCTAACCCATAAAAATGTATATCTCATTAGCTGAGCGTGTTGAATGTGTCGAAATCGAGTTATGAGTGACACTAATCCGAGTATTTACCATTGATAGCTAAATTTTAATCCCTAGTTTCAAAAATGTCAATTTTATAAAAAAATTTAAATGTAACAAAAAAAACTCAGTTGAATATACCGTATAAGGGTTCAAAAAATCAAAAACCGAAAAAAATCGAACCGAACATCAAACCAAAGCCAAAAGAAATCGACCCGAATATAAAAAAGCGAACCGAACTAAAATGGCTCGTTCGATCTCGGTTTTCTTAGCTCAGAAATCGAACCGGACCAAATTAAATAAATAAATATTATATTTATGTTAGATATTTAATTATGAAACCCAATTTATGTCCATTTATAGCCCGATTATAATATTTAACTTAATTTAAGCCCAAAACATAATTGAAGACCCAATAGGATTATTCTCTCTCTTCATTTCTCCAGACTTTGAGAATTCAATGGATGTGGGACTCCCATAATTTCAATGGTTAGAGTCTTCAATCCAGCAGAAAAAAACTAACAATTTTCAGAAATTAGTGTAATTTTCCTTTTCAAAACTACAAAATACATAGATTAGTATCTTTGTTATACACACAAAACATGCCTAAACTATACTACTTTGAGCCCTAGTCTCTAGCACTTTAACCCGAGAGGAACAGTCCCTCACATAGTTTCTCCTAATACTAGAATACCGACGTTAAGAATCATATATTCGCACTGAAGCGCGGATATCCTGCCGGCAAACAGGACAGCATGGTGTTACATTCCGTTGGATTGATATGCTACACGGGTGGCAGCAAACACGATGCCCGCAAGGAGTGAATGCCGATCGCCTTCTCCTCATCAGACATATGACACACAACTGTCCATCTGGAACCTCTCCTACTTCCTCCTCTTCTTCAATTTGAGTTTCGGTATTGCCGTCAGCAGCAGGGATTGATTGCTGTGACTGCCTTCCTTGCTTCCACGCTTTCAATTTATCCCAATTCCTGAAATAATACATGTAAATCAGTTTAACGAAACTCACATTTCCGATCAATGTGATCATCAGTGTTTAACCATTTCAATTTCATCTCTTAATTTATAATGGGTGAGTATGACATCCACAACTCATGTCCATGGACTGTAGAAAGTTGTCCTTTACATCGGCCTAGAAACATCAAATAGCCCTATCGATATTGAACAAGAACTCGCAAGTAGAATGGAGTGAAAGAATGTCACATTTGGAAAGAAATGTGT